TGCAAGAAAAAGGACTTGGAGAAAGTTAAGCTTGAAAATGGAATAGAGTTCTTTGGGATCCTAGTTTGCAAAAGCTGCGGAATCCTGTGGAACAGAGACATTAATGCAAGCAAGAACATGGCATATATTGCGGCCTCAATTTGGAATGGTGATGGCCGACCATTCATATTTGAAAAATCAGAGAATCGCCGTCAAGGAAACGGTGCGCCCTTGGTTAACAAGTGTGCTTAAAGATTTTTACAGGTAAACTCATACAATGTATTATGTCCATGAATCCATCTAAAGATTTATTGTCCTTCTTCTAAACTTCCATTTACGTTACGTCCAAAAAAGGTAGAAATAATAAAGATATTCGTCGTAAAAGAACAAATTCAAGTTTTATCTATTTCAACCTACACCAGTATTTAAACTTCCGCTGGAGACGTTGGAGGACAAACGAGAGCCTCCTTTTGGTTATTTTCTTTAATTTAGAACTAAAATGGCAGTATGTTGTAGTCATCTATACAACAAGAATGATTTTGAACTTTATCTTCTTTTTTTTTTTTTTGATAGATAAACTGGCTTCTACTCGTAAGCAGACAAGGAAAAGTTCGTCTTACAAAATGGTTCATCACAATTCCACCAAAAGAAAAAGCAAAAATTGTTAAAGATGCAACACAATTAGTTCTTGCACGAAGAGTGAAGATGTGTAACTTCTTGGAATATAAAGGTAACAGTACACTATATTAAATAATGCTTTGACGTGTACTCTAATAAAACAACAACTAGATCAAAAAATCGTCTATAGAAGGTAGCAGACTCTTTGACTACAGTTGAGTTCATTGACTGAATATTATATGTAATAGATATGCAAGTCTATTCTTTGTGGCAGGCATCAATCAAGATGATAATGAACTGATAACACTCGAAATTATACACAGATATGTCGAAATACTTGATCGTTACTTTGGCAACGTAGGTTATTGTATTCGTGTTTAACTCTTGGCTCATTTGCATATTTGATGGTAGGTTTGTGAGCTTGACTTAATTTTCAATTTTCAAAAGGTATCTTTTAGTCCTCATATTTTGCTATCACTGATGTATTAAGCATTTTCATAGGCATATTTCATCTTGGATGAGCTTTTAATAGCAGGCGAATTACAAGAAACGAGTAAAAAATCTGTCCTTCGAGTGATTACACAGGCAGATCAGTTCGAAGAGCAAGAAGGAAACGAGCCAAAGGCTGGATAATATATTTAATGAATAAACTCTATAGTTTATGAAATAAACCATCCAGGATTTTAAGGGTTATTTAACTAGTATCATTGCAAAACCGTCGTACCCTTTACAACCAACAGTTTGGATAGCAGTAGCATAGACACGGTCATCTCTCGAAACATAATTATTGAACGCACGAACACCTTTAACATTGGGATCTTGACTAGACTTGTTCAAGACTTCACCGGCTCTTATGACGTTATCAGCAACAATAAGTGTTCCTGACTTAGCCAACTGCATAGCTCTTTTGTAGTATTCTGTATTGTTAATTTTATCCGCATCAATGAAGATCAAATCAAATGCTACTTCATTTTTTGAAATTAGTTCATCAAGACTGTCTATGGCAGCACCAATCTTGATGTCCACGATAGAACTTAGCCCAGCCCTTTCAATATTCTCCTTGGCGATAGCAGCACATTTGGGATTCTTTTCCAGTGTAATCAACTTTGCGTCGTTTGATGTAACAGAGAGCAGCGCGCGACCAAAGTAAATTGTACTGTAGCCACCAAGTGTTCCAATCTCTAACACTCGCTTAGCTGATTTCAGTTGAACTAGCATCGCAAGCATTCTGCCCTGAGTAGGAGAAACATTGTGAGAAGGTAATCCAGCTTCGTTACTGAGCTCTATTGTTTTTTGAAGAACGACATCGTTTTGGTCAAAAAATAGCTCTTCTGTATAATCATCAATTTCTCTCCAAATTTGTTCAGCCATTCTTTTTTTTTAAGGGAAAAATGGATGGCGTGTCGAATAAACATGAGGCAACTTATGCTTAGCTTGGTCTTGGGTTCAATCAAAGATGAGATGGGATCTTGTGATAGTAACATGTACAGATTTAACCGTCCCGGATAAATTGATGAATCATTGAAAGTAACATACCTCATTGAATATTTACTGTGTATATCAAAGCAACTCAGATGTGGCAGGTGAATACAGTACTCTTAAACACAATATTTTTATAAAAACATTTACTTTATTTTTTTATATTATAATGAATAAAACGATAGGAATTTAACCAATTAAAGCATGACTAACAGATTCAGCTGTATTGGCAACTGTAGAAACTACTCTTTGAAACCAGGAACGGGTGGCAGGTACTTCAGTCTTTGCAACAGTCTTTGTTTCCACAAAGGTTTCATAACTTTCAGCAAAGATATCCAAGCCATCAAATTGAATGTCATATTCTTGGGAAGAGGTAGTGTTGTCATAACGATCAATCAATACAGTCTTGGAACCATTTTGCTTAGCAACTTCAAGTATTTCAGGGTTTGAAGAGACAACTGCAAGCTCAGCAGGGTTAGTAACACAGCAAAGCATAGCGGCATTAGAGAGAACAACGCCGGAGGCGCTCTTGAGATCAGTAATGTTATCTCTTGAAATACAAGCAGCAAAGACGTCACCAGTAAGTTGAGCATGCCAGCTGATTCCTGTGTTGCGAGTGTTCTTCATCAAAGTGCAAAGTTTGAATCCACTAGAGATAGCGACAGCGAATGTTCCATCAACTTGTTTAAACTTGTTAATACTAGATGTACTGTCATTGAAAAGTTGAAGCTTGAACCAGGCAGTACAAAGAGTGTTTAATTCTTCTGTAGTGAAAGCATCTTCGAGAGAGTATTCGGCCAATACTAACTTCAATGAGTGGAGGAGAACTTCACGATCACAAGTAACATAGGTAATCCTGCAGCGTTGTTCAAGAAAGACGTGGTACCAGCGAACAACAAGCTTCTCAACATCAACTTGAGCAAAGGTTGAAGCATTCTTGGTAGCAACGATGGTCTTCCAGACTTGAGAGATCGTTAAGCGGTAGTCGTACACAGTATCAAACAGATCAAAGGCAAAGACCTTGACATCCTTGAATGAAGCAGGGAATTCAGTAGTTTCAATCCAAGTAACAGACTTGCCTTCAAAGCCAACAGAAATAGCAGATTCGGCTGTAGTTTCAAGCGCAACAGTTGCTCTACGCTTAGATTGAGTTTCTATAACAGAAACCTTTTCTTCAATAACCTCCAAATCTTCCTCAGAGACAACGATTTCTTCAACAGCAGAAATTTGAGTTGAAACGATCTTTTCGATATTCTCAAATGATTCAATAGCTTGCTTTTGAACAACTTGAACTGTTTCGTTGACCTTGGAATCACATTTGTCAGAGACTGTGTAGTCAAATTCGAGTGATTTCTTGGCTTCAGTGATGATGACAGAAGCTTCCTTGTTGGCATCTGTAATGAGACGTTGAATTTCCTTCTTCTTTTCAGCAGCATCTTTTTCAGTAGATGCAATAACACCTCTAATCTTGCTAAAGAGAACATCATACCACGATACCAACTTAGATTGAGTGTCTTGAACAACCGTAGTCATTACTTCCTTGGTCTTCTTTTGAGCTTCTTCAACGGTCTCATAGTAGACAACATCAGTGGTTACTTCACTAACTTCAGAAACAGTTGTAGGCTTATCAGAGACAGCAACGACTGCGATAGAAGTATCAGAACCAGCTTCGATATTTTGAGTGGCCACAGTTTCAGGCTTGGCCTTTTCGTAAACGACTTGCTTAGTTTCTTCAACTTGAGTTACAACAGCTTTCTTGAATTCTTCTTTAGCGAGATGCAAGCTGATCTTTTGAGAGGCATCTCCTTCAGTGTAGGCTTCCTTAACGGTAGTCTTGATGTTGGAGATCTGAGACTTGATGGACTCGTTAAGCTTGCTGTAGTAAACATCGATTTCTTCAATGCCTGTAGTTGTTTGAGCCTTGGACTTTTCAAGAATTGCTTGCAAGTTTGATTCTTCACTGGCAATGACAGTATCAACATCTTCAACACAGTCACCAATTTCGATCATAGAAGTAATTTTTTCAATGAAGCGAGAGAACCAGCTGTTTGCAGCATCAGCGACTTTTTCAACATGGTTAATGACTTCGACTTGTTCAACTATAAAGCAGTTAGAATAACGAACGTTCATACATTCAACTATATACGTACCTGGTATGGTTTCCTTAGTGACAATAACAGTAGTCTTACTAGTATCTTGCTTTTCAACATCTCCAACAATCACTGCACCAATAGCAGCACCTGCATCGATAGCAATATCTTGAGTATGATTCATCTTGGTATCCTTATCAACAACGACCTTGGAGTCTTCGACGACAACAGTAACATCCTTCTCGCCATGGACTTCAGCCTTGGTAACATCTTCCTTGACTTCAATATCGGCAACGGCTGTTTCTCCGGTTTCAGAAGTAACGCTGACAACCTTGGTAGCAATATCCTTTTCACCAGTGATGGTAACTTCGACGTCTTCAACAACTTGAGAGTCAGTTGAGACAACTACATCAGACTTGGATTCAGTCGTTCGTTTGGCAGAGCCAATGGCAACAGAGATAACCTCTTCTTCGGTTACAATAGGTCTCTCAACCTTTTCGGTTTTTTCTTCAACGACAGACACCTTCTTGTCAACGACAACTTTCTTGGTAGTATCGTTCTTGTCAGCGACAACTTCGCGGTCCTTGGAGGTATCTTTCTTGCCAGAACCAAAGATAGCAGCAGCACCAGCGACAATGCCAGTAGTGATTTCCTTGATGGCGTCAGTGACAGATTCTTCCTTATCGTCTTCGACTTCTCGAGACTTGATATCAGATACAACCTTTTCAACCTTGGTCTTGTCAACAATGGTTTCAGCCTTCTTATCGTCTGCGACTACTTCAACTGCAACAGAATCAGCTTCCTTAAGAATAGTTTCAACAGCAGAAAGAGTTTCTTTATCAGCAACGATAGTTTCAGTTACTGCACCAGCAACTGCGCCAACAGCATAAGCTTCAGTGATCTTCTTGTCTTCAACGACTTCGACATCTTCAACTCGCTTTCCTTCAGTAATAACATCTACTTTGACAGAATCAGATTCCTTGACAACAGATCCAATAGTAGTGGTAACGTTCTTGTCTTTGACGATATTGCCGATAATACCACCAGCAATAAAACCACCACAGGCGGGCTCCTTCACAACACTGATTGTGTCAACCGATACTACTTCTTCTGCATTTGTGATGTCAGATTCTTTCACAATGACATCAACCTTGGAATCAACGGAAACATCGGCCTTCTTAGCGGTGGTATCAGAGGATGTGACAGAAGCAGTGGTGCTTGTAGTAACGGTAACATCAACAGTATCGGTCTTCTTGGCAATGTCTTCAAGCTTGACATTCTTATCGTTAATGACAGCTTCGGTAACAGTACCAGCAATGGCACCAGTAGTAATCACCTCTTCAGAATCTACGATGACAACTTCTTCCTTTTCAGTAAGGGCTTGTTCAGTAGAAGAAACATCGGCTTCCTTGATAATAACTTCAATCTTGGTATCAGAAGTAACCTTTTCATCTTCAGTAACAGCTGAGACAGTCGTATCAGCCTTCTTGTCACCAGCAACGACTTCAACAGTAGTCTTGCCGACTTCTACGACATCAGTAAAGACTTCCTTCTTGTCGGCAACTACTTCGGCAACAGCACCAGCAACGATAGCAGCAGTAACAAGTTCAGACTTGGTGATAGTGTTATCAGCGGTCTTTTCATCAGTGACAGTATCAACCTTGGAAAGAGTCTCCTCAGTAGTAGTTGTGTCAACAACCGTTTCAAATTTCTTTTCACCGGTGATAACTTCAATAACCACAGCATCGGATTCCTTGACAGTCTTCTCAACAGCAGTGGATACTTCCTTGTTATCAACGATAACCTCAGTAACAGCACCAGCAATAATACCAGGGGCAGTTTCTTGAGATTTAGAAACAACATCGGTCACAGAGATAACCTCCTTCTCTTCAACGATTACTTCAGAACCAGTTGAGACTTCAGTAACCTTTTCAGCAGACTGCTCCTTGTCAGCAATAACTTCAACATTGACAGTTTCAGAACCCTTGACAATAGCTTCGATGGTAGAAGAGACATCTTTGTCATTGACGATAGCTCCTACAACAGCACCAGTGACAGTGTCCTTTTGAGCCACGGCTTCGGACGTAACGGCTGGTTTCTTGACAACAATATCAATCTTGGATTCAGTAGTCTCGACGTCAGTAATTTCAGACACTTCCTCAACGCTATCCTGCTTGACAACGTCAATAGCAACAGCACCAGTTTCCTTGACAATCGTTTCGACTGTAGACAGAGTTTCCTTGTCTTTAACAATAGCATCAGCGGTAGTACCAGCAATAACGCCAATAACAATATCTTCAGTTTTAACAACTTCCGTAGTTTCCTTTTCAGTGCTTATTACTTCTGTAGGCTTGACAATGACTTCAACCTTGGAAACTTCGGTCGCGGTTTCTTCGGCAGGAGCTACGCTAATCACTTCGGTAGTCTTCTTTTCACCTGCAACTACTTCAATAGCGACAGAGCCAGATTCTTTGACTGCGGTTTCGACAGCAGAAGAGATCTCTTTGTCTTCAACAATCGTCTTGGAGACAGTACCAGCGATAGCACCGGCAGTAATAGTTTCCTTGCCGAGAGCGACATCAGAAACAATCTTCTCTTTAGTGACTTCTTCTACAATGTCGGAAGTTGACTTCTGGAGAGTAACATCAACCTTCTCAATGGTTTGTTGAATATCAGTAGTGTCAACAACTGCCTCGGTCTTCTTATCACCAGCAATGACTTCAACAGTGACAGAATCGGATTCCTTGACAATAGTGTCAACAGCAGTGGAGATCTCCTTGTCAGCAA